TCCAAACATTGAGCCATTAGGGCTCTAAAGTCCTCTGCTAAAACAGATCAGAATCTGTCAGGGTTGGAAGGGACCACAGGGATCCCCCAGTTCCAACCCCTCTGCCATGAGCAGGGACACCTCCCACTAGATCAGGCTGCCCAGAGCCTCTATTAGGGAGTGAGGTGGTTGGGGGAGGAATGAGAGGGTTGTGAAGATGTTTGTGTAAAGTTTGAGTATTTTCAAATATTAGTAAATTGCAATGGTTTGGTGCAGAAACAGTGTTCAAAGCAACAAATAGAGGTGGTTGTTGGAATAGCTGAAGGTTATTTATCACAACCAGACCTAGAATATCTGCTATAGCAGAGAGGGTTTAAACTCAATGCAGTCATCCAAGAGGCATGATACCGTGCGCCTGCTTTCTGCTGTTGACCCACCAGCCCCCCCACAGGAGGGTAGAGAGCCCCACCATTTGCTCTCCAAGTGTAACTTCAGCCAGGTGGGAGATGCCCACAAGAAGGATGTGGAAGAAGGGGATATAGACAGGGTACAGGAGTAAGCTTGCTCTGGGACACGGGTGAAAGATGCAGACACAGTTACGTTCTACAGGACAATGAGGATGGCAGCTGGGAGGATGGTAAAGAAAGGTGATCACTTTTCAAAGTTCTCTCGTCACTCACAGGTTACACGAGAATGGGAAGTCATCTTGCACCAGGCCTGTTATGGATGAAAGAAAAGTCCTGAATGAGTTACGATCTTAGCAGATGAGAAGGTTTAGGATGTAGCTCAGAAGGAATGATAGTATGTTTGCACTGTGAGGTAGGAGTAGCCTGCTTCACAGCTGAGGCTGTGCAGGGTGTAAAACTGCCCAGTTTAGGGAAGGATCTGGTGTTCTTGGGGATCAGAAGTTGAACAGGAGTCAAAAACCCCAGGCTGTTTTGGAAAAAGAAGATGTCGTGTTCTAGTGTATAAACAGGAGTAGATCCCATAAGATATCGGAAGTAGCCCTTCCTCTTTGCAAAACATTTGCAAGTCCTCAGCTGGAATGGGGTGCCCAGTTCTGAGCACCACGCTAGAGGCAGAGCAGGGGGCAGCTGGATGGACAGGGATGGCCAGACCTATCAGAACTACAGGAAATATGTGACCTGTGAGGGGCAACTGGAAAATTCGGAGCCCTTCAGACACTGAAGGGAGATGTGAAGAGCCATTTTCAAAATCACAGTTTTCTGTAGCAAGAAATAACCTGCTCAATGTGTCTGTGGTGGATGGGAGATGAATTAGCAGGCTTAAATTGCAGTAAAGGAGACAGAATAAACAAAGCCAGAGTATCATGGTGAGACACTGAAATCGATGGGGCAGGAAGGCCTGGAGTCTCTGCTCGTGAAGGTGCTGAAGATTCAGTTCAGCGGCTCAGTTCAGGTTACATCAACCTGCTTAGTTCGGCTTTGAGGGGAGAGGTGGATAATTCAGTCTTTCAGGTACCTTTCTGCTCCTTATTTTTCTATGATCTCTTAACACTGTTGTATGTTCAAGTTGTACCCTAGAAGCATGGTTTGGTAAGGCAGTAGGTGGCTGGAGCATATGAAATGTAAGAATGTCAACTGAAAATGGCTTTTAAAGCAAAGGATGAGGAGTATGATATTGTGATGTAATGTAGCAAAATTTTAAAACTGGAAAAAGTTATCAGAAGGTACATGGTATTCATCCTGTTCCTTAATATGCTGCCCTTTCAGTCAGAAGAAAGTAATAATGCAAGTTTGAGACTAAGTGCAATACCAAGTGACTTGTGAACTTTGAGAGGCTTTTTTTGAAGGTTCAGCCTCTGTCCTCAGGAGTGCTTTGCCTGAGGGAGAGACAGTGAAGGAAGAAATCTTTCCTTCCTTTACATAACAGCCTGTAAGGCTCCGTCTCATTTTCCTTGAAGGACAAGAGCTGGCTGTACAGAAAGCAGCTGAAGCTTGCTGAGAAAACTACACATGTAAATAACAGAGGAGAAAGAGGAAACCTGCAGGAGAGCCAACTGACTATTAAAAGGTAAAACAAAGATGTGACATTGGCATACTAGGAGGGCCAAAAGACAAATAAAAGAGACAGGATGAAAACTGATACCTGTCCATGTATGTACACAGTTTGAGGTCATTACTTGATGTCTGGGGAGCAAGTACAAAAACCTGGAGGGCTTAGGATAGCATCAGAAACTGATTCATTGAAAGCTGGGATTTATTTGCTTTAGTGGGTTGGGAAGGTTGCATGAGCAGATCATCTGTTCAGGTAAGCCAGACAGAGGCAAACAATAGAAAGAAAAGTTAATGGCAAAAAGATGTATTGAGGAGAAAAGTCTCAAGTCTCTAGATGTAAGAAAGTGGAAGAACAGAAAAATAAGTGAAAAACAGATATGATATATAATACTAACAATGCCACCTTGTAGAAACTGCACTAAGATTTCAAATCTGCCCCTAAATTATGTAGTGGAGAGAATACACTGAAAAGGGATTTGAACTACTCATGATATTTTTGTTTGGGTGCTGTCAGCTCTTCTAGTAGTCTGGCCCTGGGGCTGGTGCAAGCCCTGTTTATGGTGGCTTGGTAACTCATCAGTCTAGCAGTGAGGGTAGGGGTGCGAAAGTCTTCCTCGTCCAACCCCATGTCCAGCAGAAATGCAAGAGCTGGCTGACCATTGAGATGAGTTCCCCTCAGTATCTGTTAGTTGCTGTCAGCCCCAGCAGAGTGCAGATGAGCACACCCTTTTAAAAGGGCCAGCAGTTCCAACGTGGGACTTCACTTCAGAGTGCACGGCCTGGGTGTTGACATCCTGACTGGAGCTTTGGGACTTAACTGTCCTCACGGATTTCAGAGCATACCTGAGTATCAGCTTTGCTGGGCTAGCTCTTTACTTTTTGAAGTAATGGTCTCCCTGTAGTTTATATGGTGTGGGCACTCCTCTCTGGACAGTCAAGAAATATAGCTAGAGAATTTGGTCCATGTTTGACCTTACATCAGGGGGGCTTTGGCTCTTTCAGTTGCTCAGCTCATTTGCATTTTAGCATGGAAGCTACTTCATGCCCATATCAATATGAGGAGTCAATGTAAGGATTCGGTGTGAATCATTAATTTTGAAAAGACCAGACAAAAATTTGCTTAACCAGCCTGCCAGTGGGTGGAATGAAAGCAGCTCACAAACCCAGGGGTTTTGTGTCTTGAAAAAAAATATAATTGGCTGAAAAAAAAAGGATGTGCTGAGGCTCCAGCCTCAAACTGATCTTATTTGCAATAAGGATTTTAACTGTGTGAACAAAACTACATCCTCTCAGTCAAAAAATGCCACTTCAATCCCAGTTGCTTGAAGGGAGAGTGCAGGAGAGCTGTTTACAATAAGCATGCAATCTCATTAGCCTGGACGATTTTCCCCCAGAAGGCACTTGCTCAATTTGATTATAACACTGAAGATATAAGTGCAGTTTCAAAAGACAGATCAGTCCTGGATTATCTGAGCTCCCCAAAGCTGTCCCCTGTGGATCAGCCACCTATTTGTATTGGTTCCTTAAGGCAAATAAGGCATCAGAAGTGCCTTATTGGCAGTCCTTGCGACATGCTGGGAACCTGCCAAGATTAATATACACAACAATTCCCCTCCCCGCCTCCTGCTTTCAAAAAGTAACCAGCACAAAAGTGTTATTCAGTTACAACCCAGTCAGAGACCTTGTGTTGTCAGAAGCTGTTACTAAGAAGACGGTGGTTATTAATGATGTACTGAGTTGCGTGCTACAGCATATCATTGGAAATAATACAGATGTGTTTATTTGCAGATGACTGGTTAATTTTGCTTTGAAACAGTAATATGTAGAAAACATATGTAGCAAGAATCTGGGGATAATTTATTCATTGTTCCTTTAATTATTCTGTTTGCCTTTATTCTGTATTGTCAGGTTTTCAGATGCTGTTTGTAATAAAAGCAAACTCAAAACCCATGCAGCTTAAGATGTAATTTCTTTAGCATTTTTAAAAGGGGCAGGGAATTCATTGTTTTGTGGAATGAATTGATTTACTGCAACTACTGTCTAATGCAATACTATAGAATAAGTTAAAGCCTTAGAAAAATTTTATGCACTCCTCTGAGGAAAACACATTCAAGTAATTTGCAGTATCTGTGTAGAGTTATCTCAGTCTTCTTTTGGTTGCTGGCATGGAGAGAAAATATTATTTCTAGAAATTCATCATAATTTCAAACAGTAAACTGAAACGGCATCAGTCAAAGCTATTGAAGAAAATCAACTGTGTCATCTGACACCTCTGAGTTAGAGATGATGAATTAAAATTTCAGCGTGTCTCCATTTTTCCATACATTGTAGACTGACAACAGTTAATCTCCTAATGAAATGTAAGAAAAAACAAAACAAAACAAAACAAAACAAAACACACCAGTTAGTTTACTGGCACAGGTATGATTCCTTTTTGACCAATGGGATCTTTCTCCATTTTTTTCCCAAGTCACAATTTTTTTATACAGCTATTTTACACCATAAGTTCCATAAGTTTGGAAGCTTGAACTTTCTCAAGTATGTCACATTATTCTCGGACTGTTCCTTGTTCTGCCTTTCTGACAATTTCACTTTAAAGGGCTTATCGTTTGCTGCCTGACAGCTTTCATATCCCAGGTGAAGCTGCAAATTCCTGCAGGACGAATTTTAATGTTTGGGAGAATCATATTCTAGTCCGTCAAAATTTCTCTTGGCATAAGAGTCTGGTAGAGATTGTATATTGTGTAAAATCAAAAAATAATTTTGCTATTAAAGTCATGCCAAGCAGAGACATTCTTTTTCCTCACCTTATGAGTCTTCTGCTAACAGAAAAATGTAAAGATATACCTTGAGATATACCTTGTTAAAAATTTTATTTACAAAAAAGCTATGCATTTTTTTTCCCAAAGTGGTTTGTCCCAAAGCAGTTTGTACTTGGTCTCTCCAAAAGTACAGTTCGTCCTATATTTTTCTGCTCTAATTTGAACTGAATTTATTTTGTAGCTACCCCTTGAACAACAGTGATATGCATCAGTTCAACATCGAGGAGAATGGTGGAACACCATATACCACAAAAATGCCTCCAAGGCACCATCACCACCACCGTCATCACCACCACCATGCGAATTACGGTGCCCTTGCTCCTGACAGCAAAGACATTGTTTCTGGAGTTCCCAACCCAAACAGTAAGTCCACTGCATTGAATGCCATTTCAGTGACTGTGTTGCTTGAAGATTGTCTCTGGCAAGGAGGGAAAGGAAAGAGAGGAGAGGAAAAAGGAAAGGAAAACACACGTTTTCACTTTTTCTCCTTGAAGAATATGTTTTCTATTATTTTTTGGTGTCTTTGTAGTATGTGCAAATGAGACAAGATTTGCAATTTCCTGGCTTTCCTATGGGGTTGCAGGATTTGGTGTTAGATTGGTGTTCCACAGCTGAACAAATACCCAATTAGTCACAGCTACTGAGTCTCTAGCCACTTGGCACAGGCTTTTTTTTCATTGTTACTATTTATTTGTGCAGTTTCACAAACCTGTCCTCATCTGACATTGTCTTTTGCTGATCTGCCCAGCTGGCCTTCAGCCCTCATTGTTTGGATCTGACTCTTGCTTTCACTTCTGGACACAAACAGCAGAAATTTTGGAGCACTGGACAAAGCGCATCTTGCTCTTAGGGTAATGGGAACAATTCCTGCTCAGCCTTACCAAGGCTGAGCACTGGAGTGTGCTTGCATGCTCGGTGCAGAAATTCTTGCCTTGTAGAAAGCAGACAGTAGAGGAACCTATGTGTTTGTGATGCAGCTTTGGGGAGTCTGGGTGTAAATCTCTGTCACTGAACAAGTGCAGGCTTTTTTAAGTCTAGGCTGGAAAGGCTCACCCGGGCTGTCAGCCTGGTGCGGGAGGAGGTGGTGACCTTTCTGGGGGGTGTGCCAGCCCATATTTTTCTTTCCCAAATTAAAGTTGAAGCATGCCAGAAACATGCCATGTCCTGGCCCTGAGGGCACTGCAGGACCCACTGGCCCTGTCCCCCTCTTGCGTGCTCCCCCCATCCTGCCCATGGCCCAAGGCCCCATCCCAGCTTCCGGGGGCCTCAGCTTCTGCCCCAGCGATGCTGCAGCAGGGACGGTCTCCAGCTCCCCACGGCCCTGCCATGGCCCCCACTGTGCTGGGCCCACCACTGAGCAGAAGGAGATTAAAGAAACAATGGCAAAACCCACAGAACAGGGTAGCCTTCTCAGAGGCCACACTGCGTTCCTACTTCTCCTTACTGCTGGAATAGCCTACGCCGTTAGAGCAGTGGTGGTTTGGATACGACCACTTCCCTTATCAAAGCTACTATTTGCAGTTTTGGGTGATGGGTCTGGGTGCCTTTTCAAGGTTGATGCTCAGGAGGCTTGTTTTGATTTGATTTGTTTGATTTTTGTTAAAATTCTGTTCAGGCTATTTCAGCTGAGAAAACTGTCCTGTAGAGAGCCTGTGGAAAAGGCTCGTGGAGTGTGTGCTGAAGCAGCTTGGAGCGTGCTGGCTGTCAGTCGGTTATCTAGGACAGTGCACAGAGCAGAGTGTGTGGGACAAGAACAGCTTGGGCAGAGAGGAAACACTATTAGGGGTCTGCATCAGAAACGTGGGGACACAGGGAATAGATGTCTGGCTCCACGCTGTGTCTAAAGGCCGCTGCTGGGAAAGTGTTTCTAGGAAGTAAGTAGTCACTAACCTGGGGAAACTCTCAGGGAAGAGGGTGCTTGTGACCAAAATATCTCAAGTGGAAATGCTTGGAGAGACAAAAGGTCTCACACAGGGAATATGCTGTCCTAGTGGGAACCTCCCTGTGAGCCTGACAGAGGTGAGGCTGTGCACCCTAGTACTTCAGTTTGGCTACCTTGTGGTTTTCCAAGGGACCGTGTGTGTTTTGGGACTTTTTCTAATGGACTGGACTCATCTGCGAGCTCTGAAGTGGATTGAAATTATGTGAAGTAGAACATAGAGTGCCCTATCAATGTGTACCCAGCATGAAGTCGAGAGAGGGGGAAACTGTCTGCCTTTCCTCCACTCACACCTATTCTGATAAATACCAGCATTCCAGTGCAACTCGCCGGACATGGGCAGGAGAGAGGGAAACGACAGTGTGCCCAAGCCAGGTTCTGGGTCTGTGTTTTTCAGCGAACACACAGCCTGGGATTTTGTTACAGAATACAAACACGGGCCAGACCTGCCTGATTTTTCACATTCCAAGTAATTTGTCTACTTCAATTACTGGCAGAAGTGAAATCCAGTGAAACAAACCTGACGTGTGTGTTTATGAAGGCAGTTCAGCAGAAGAAGTTGTTCTCCGGCATTCAGCCTGATTATTGTATTTGCGATGCTGCCCTTCACCTCAAAGCTAACGTGCACAGATGGTATCTTCTTATGTGGCACATCTTCCCCCGGTCTATCTGCAGAACCCCAGTCCTGGGGACCGCTGTACTCAAGAGCAATTAGCCTTACAGTGCCAGCACCACCACACAGAGGCTGAGCTGCTTGCTAAGCCTAATTGGCATGGCAACGTCGTGCATGGATTGCCAGGTGCACACGAGCAGATCCACTGGCAGCAGCTGGAGCTATCGCTGAGAGCAGATGCCAACAAGTTTACAATGTACTCTGCAGAATTTTTGTGATGGAAAATGAAAAGAGGGGGCCCAGCTTGCCTCTTGAACTCTGGGCTGTGCTTGGAGGTTATTGTTTAAAAAAAGAGATGGTTTATTCCTGAACTGCTCACTGCCGAAGTCCTTGTGTGACCTGAGCAGAGAATGGTGTAATACAGAGTTTCAGGCTGAGAACTGTCCTTTGAAAAACCACAGTGCTGCCAGATCCTATCTTGAAATGAAAGCCTGGTTTTGCCAAGTCTTAATGCTGACTCAGGAAATGTATGCCTTTTGTAGGACTTAAAATTTTGCCTTTTTATAAAGGTTGAGTTAGAAAGCTGAACTGGCTATCTTATTTTCTGGAGCTGTCCCTTTAAACAAACAAAAAAAAAACAGCTTAAAAGTTAGCTTTACATTATAGCAAACTTGAATAATTTAATTAAGGCACTTTCCACCCTCTATGTTCTCTCTCAACAGGAAAATAGAACGACTGTGTTTCTTCAGCAAAAAGCCCAAACCATCATCGTGTCTTATCTTATAGCAGATAGTGGTAATTTATTCCCGGGTATAACAGCTTTTTGCTGATATCCCTATAAGCTGGTTTTAGCAGTTTGTCTCTAGTCAGCAAAGCCCTTAATGTATATTTAAACAGCTGTAGAATTAGATCTTGAGTGAGTAATATTTAATATTCTTAGGACAGCTTAAGAACCTGATCCAAACCAAACTACAGTCAGTGTAAGGTTTTTATTGAGATTTCAGTAGACTTTGAATCAGACTCCAGAGATAACTGGATTATTCCCAACTGTTATTACCTGGAATCCATGGCAAAAAGAAATACATGAGGATGCAGAGATTAGTTAATTCATCACATGATTTAATTCGTTTTTCTCAGAGTACCTGCAAATATACATATATATGCCACACCATCCCCAAGATGTTGGTGGAGACCTTTCAGGGCTGTTTAAAAAAAATATTTTTCTTTCTGTGTCAGTGGCTTGCTCAAAATCTCTGTTGACAAAGCACAGCAAATTCCTGACAACAGTCTTAAAGAGGCTGGCGTATAAATAGAGATGTCTGAGAGAAGCCAAAAGCTATACTCTGATCTCTTTACACATCATGTGTTCTAAGAGTGGCACCTTGGCTGCATAAATAATCCCTCTGGTGTCAATCGAGTTTTAGAATATAGGGAGGGTGGAGCAGGGGGGAGGTAAGGAGAGAATTATCTAGCCAAAAGCTGGCAAAAGCCCTGCTGAAATGAAAAGGATGGGTGAGAAGGAGGAGGGGTAGGAATTGTTTGCTAAATAGAAAAAGACAAAATGACCCAACAGGGATAATTATGAAACATTTTAGATGATCTTCCAGGGAAGATGGTTTGCTGACCGCTGTCTCTTCAAATGCTGTTGAGTGTATGGCTCTGCAGTTCTGTAGCCTTCCTCCAGACTGTCTTTCTTTCTTTTTTTCTTTCTTTTGGGCATCTTTTTAGAACTGAGCTCAGGACTTCCCCTTCTTTATGATGAAACTTCTCATCTGAAGAAAATAGAAACGGAGAGTGTGAAGGTAGTTGGACCATGGCCAGCACTGCACGTCGGCATGAACAAGGTATAGCGTATACATATATACTTTTACATGTATATGCCAGTGAGTCCCCTTGTCACTTCATATTCAAAAGCTGTTTTCACCTCCAAATCAACATTCATCTGCAGCTTGCTTGCTTTGTAATCACCTCTCACCATCTCCTTATGGGACTGGGGTTTGGTTTGTAGATTTAGCATGTCCTTCAATCTTGCCTTTTAGAATTTCTGAAGCTGCTGCAACAATGTTATGGTGTAGATTTAGTTGAGCTGTGAAGAGTTAGTCATCTAGGCAGCCCAGAACTGTAAAAAAATAACAACACTTTAAGTGATAAAAAAAAAAAAAAAGACAACCTTGTTTTTCTGCATGAGGAGTCAGTGTTATGCCTTAAAACCCCACCAGCATCTGATGTTAGTGGGTGTTTTACGAGTGAGATTTTGCAGGGGTAGCAAAAGAGCCATGTCCCACTGTTTCTGCCAGAGATCAGAGTTCAGCA